CTTGGCGGGAATTAATGTAGTTCTCATGACTCTGGTTAGTCATGAGAGGGTTTTTTTTAAAAGGAGTGAGACTGGTTCCTCCCTGCTCTCTGGTTTCCTGCCTTACCATGTGGTCTCGCCCTCTAGCTTGTGTTCCCATGGTGATGCCATCCACCATGATGTGACATAATGAGGGGTCCTTGCCAGAGCTGGCACCATGCCACTTAGAGTTTCAGCCTCCAAAACTGGGAGCTGCACAGACATCTTTCTATATAAGTCATCCAGCCATAAGGTTTCTTAAACAGCAACAGAAAATGGACAGCTTGATAGATATGGGATGCCTTCCTGATCTGCTCACTTAGCTCTGACCTTACTGCGTTCCTGACACGTGAGTTTTGCTGCAGACCTTCCAGATCCAAACCACAGTAGCCAGAGAGAGTGGGAAGGTCAAGGTCAGCTTCAAGAGTCAGATTAAAGTTACTGCAGAAAAATCAAAGTAGCAGAGGCCAGTGGGTGGTTCACGAGTGTTTGTGGAGGATGACTTTGTAAGTTCCAGTCATCAGAAGACTGGACGAGATTGTGCTGCCCCAGAGGCACTCCTGCAGTTGTTAGTTCTCTGCCCAGAGCTCCTGTAGGCACCATCTTCTTTTCTTGGAGCACTAGCAAGCAATGGACCCAGGATTTTTAGATAAAAATATATATATTCATTGCTTTATAAATCACAAATACCTTCTCATGTCTCCTAAGGGTAAATTAAAAAAAAAAATTTGGAGGGGTACTGGGAATTGACCCCAGGGGCACTTTACCACTGAGCCACATAACCAGCTCTTTTATTTTTTTAATATATATATTTTTTAGTTGTAGTTGGACACAATCTATTTTATTTATTTATTTATTTATTTATTTATTTATTTATTTAATGTGGTGCTGAGGATCGAACCCAGCGCCTCGAATGTGCTATACGAGCACTCTAGCGCTGAGCCACAACCCCAGCCCTCTTTTAATTTTTGATTTTGAGACAGGGTTTCATTAAGTTGCTTAGGGCGTTGCTTAGTTGCTAAGACTAATCTCGAATTTGAGATCCTCCTGCCTTGCTTCCAAAGTAGCTGGGATTACAGGCTTATACTATCATGCCCAGCTTAAGTTTATTTTTAAAATAACTGTATAACTGGAGGATCACTGGGTCTATACCCTGACCATTTAACTTCAAGCTGTGGAGCCAAAGAGAGAAGTAAAAACACTAGATATCACCCTGTCTACCCTCAGGCCTCAGTTCTGCACCCGTCAAATGCATGAATTCTTGTTAAGCCTCAAAGGAGATATGTCATGGCATTATCTTATGTAAATGAAAAGCATTTAATTATGTATCTTAAATTAAGATCTCTTTAGTGCTTTCCATCACACTGTGATTTTAAGATATCAGCTCTGGGCTGTGAGTGCAACTCAGTGGTAGAGTACTTTCTTGACTTGCCTGACCCCAGCACTGTCAGGGGAATATTGGCTAGGGTAGTTAGATATATTATGCCTTACTGAGTATGATTTTTTTTTTTTAGGTAGAATAAAAATGGGTGTCTCAGGCTGGGATTGTGGCTCAGTGGCAGAGTGCTTGACTAGCACATAGAAGGCACTGGGTTCCATCCTTAGCACCACATAAAAATAAACAGAATAAAGACATGTTGTCCATCCACGACTACATTTTTTTTTAAATGGGTATCTCAGCAGAGAATGCAAATTTAGAAGATTTTTCAGGTTAAGTTAAAATGAGGAAAGTTAAATTCCATGTACCTGAAACTGTTCTAAAACACATGGAATGAGTCCTGGTAGAGTACAGTAAGAAAGTGTGGCCTGCTCCCCTGGCCTTAGGCTTCCTGGGGAGCTGGGCAGGGAGAAGGTGGCCTGCACACTCTAGGTTTCTGTGGCTACTCACCCACCAGGCCCAGTTCAGTCCATCCTGACCCTCATGACAAGGATGTTGGAGCCCAGACCCTGTAGGCTGCTGGATCTCTGGCCCAGGGGGAGCCAAGAACAAGGCACCCCCAGTGGCCACAGTGTGTGGGGCAAAGAATGGACCAGGATAGCAGGTGAACACAGAAGGCTCACGGATGCCCAAAGGCCAGCCATTTTAGACATCTGAGCTGCGCAGACCAGGGCCCTGTAGTGTCTGCTCTGTCAAAGACAAGACCTTACCTTGTCCCACAGCAAGGAATGAAGGCCCAGTGTTATGGGGCTGGGGCCTTCTAGGATACCTAGGTAGCACAAAGACTGCCCGCCCCCACCTTCAAACCCCATGCTTGTGGTCAAGTCAGAAAGGTTTCAGACATGTCACTTAGAGTAGCAGGCATGACTTTATCAAAGGGAAAAGGGAGGGGCTGGGGATGTGGCTCAAGCGGTGGAGCGCTCGTCTGGCATGCGTGCGGCCCGGGTTCGATCCTCAGCACCGCGAACAAACAAAGATGTTGTGTCCGCCGAGAACTAAAAAATAAATATTAAAATTCTCTCTCTCTCTCTTAAAAAAAGAATCTTTACTTCTGAATCCCATGTCAGAAATATTAAAAAAAAAAAAAAAAGGAAAAGGGACACTCTCGGGGGAGAGAGTGGGTACTCTCAGAGAAGAGAGGGATGATATGCTTTTCCTGCACTCCAGTTTTTGGGGGATCCCAGAAAAGTTTCTAGAGAGTCCTGCCCAGGTCCACCTCTTGACTTTTGGCTGACAGCAAGGTGACATCAGATTCTCAAGTCCACACTGCCATGATTACTCTAGGTTATGCTGACCCATGCTGTCTGGTTCTATGTGGATTCTTAACCATATGTTGTTACAGCTTTACAGTTAGGAGGAATTATCCTTATATCCCTGAGTTTCAGGATCTGGTCTGTGAAAAGGGTCACAAAATTCTCCCCATTCAGAGTAACTTGGATTCCTCTTGTTGACATTTTGACATTATTTCCAGCTGCATATAACAGGTAGTTTGTGTGCATGTATGTGTGTGGCATTGAGAATCGAACCTGGAGCCTTGTGCATGTGAGGCAAACACTCTACTAACTGAGCTACATCCTCAGTCCTAACAGGGAGTTTTCTAAGGAACGTGACATATCCTGTCCACGTAAGCCAGACAGGGCTGCAGGTAAGTTGCTGCTTGGAAAAGAAAGTATATGGGGTCAGTACAGTGGGCCATTTCATAGAATCACTCCCTAACCTCGTGCTCCCACCACTTGCATCGGTCTGTCCCTATTACTGGAGGTGAGCAAAGCCCAGAGGAGCACAGGTAGACCAGTTGGCAACAGGTGGCCATCATGGGACTGCTCTTCCTTCTACCATAGAGAGAAATGCTAGAGAAACATATGACATTTGGCCAAGTGGAAGTACCCCCACCCTATGGGAAGATTTGTTGGCCATCTGTAGCAGCCTGTTGTGGATAGTAGGCCAGGTTCTGCTCTGAGCTACTCTGTAACCTATAGAACAGCAATTTTCAGGTTGGGCTTAATGCTGAGTCACTCCATTCTGTAAAACAGTAGTTTGCTATCAGCTACTCCATCTTGAGTATCGGGGCCAAGGTAGGGTGACTCCACACCTTGTTTGTACAAGTAAACAACCACCATCTGCCTGGCACTACCAAAAGGCACAACTTGATAAATAACTAATATGTGCCAAATTATCAAACTGAATCAGGAGCACTTGGACAGGTGGTCATCCCAAATCATAGCAGGAACTCCAGACACGGGTGCTTATCAACCTCTCCTAAGACCCACAAAAGGAGGAACCCCTCAAGATGACACAGTAGGACTCTGACCATGTAACCTTGTCACTTGTCATGGGTCTTGCCCAGGAAATTGCCACAGTGTCGAACCTCTGAATCTTTGTCCTTGGGTTTCAGCAGAGAGCCATTTCTCCTGCCTGTGACAACCACACAGGACCCCCTCCAAGCTGATGCTCTGAAACTGAAACTGCCATCCGCCCAGACCCTCTGCTTTGACAACTCTGTGGAACTGGCTTGTTAGAGTCTGACCACCTGTAGGGACCCTGACTCTGCAGTTACCTTTCTCTCTGCCTGGGCTCTTGGCTCAGAGTCTGCAAACCCCAACTGCCTTAACCTTCTGGTCTCCTGTGACCTATTTATATATCACCGTGCAAAGTACGATGTGTGACTCAAGTGACATAGATCCTGGAGATGGAGACTGGAGGGAAAGAGCCTGTGTTTGCTCAGCCTGTGACTGCCAGGTGGCCCACGAGGGTCCTGTGGACTGCCACCCATGAAAGTGGTGTAGTATGTAAATTTACTGTTATTTGATAAATTCTGACACTGTGGAATATACAGATGTGTTTGGTCTATGTTAATGATATAGCTTGCTCACAACAATTGGCATAGTCAGCAGGATTCATTCATTAAATAAGGAATTCAATGAGTAAAAGGACAATTAGCAAAATAATTGGGCATATACAATTTTTTTTTCAAATAGATTAAGCCATTTGGCAATATAGATAAAATTCAGCATCCATACCAAAGACTTGTGAACAGAGACTTAACACTTACTCTGCCATGGTCTGGCTTATGCCATGGAGCAAATCATTTGGAATGAAACCCAACTTGGATGCTAGAAGGCGTGCACCCCTCTGATTCATGCAGATTGAGGGTGAAAGATTGCTGGGAAGGCAAATTCCCTACAATATACAGGGTCTCGTCCCACGAGGGATTGGTTGGCAAAAGAAACATACAGATGTTAGGGTTTGGATATAAGGTGTGTCCCACAGCCCCTGTGGATGCAGGAGAGTTCAGAGGTGAAATGGCTGGATTTGGAGAGCCGTGAGCTAATCAGGTCACCCTCATTTGGCTGGACTGACTGGGTGGTAGCTGTAGGCAGGGGGCATGTGGCTGGAGGAGGCAGGCCACTGGGAGTTGAGTCCTGGACTGGTGCACCTGCCCTGGGCCCGTTTCCTTCTCCCTCTCTGCTTTCTGACCCCACCACGAGCTAAACTACTTTTTTCCACTGGGCCCTTCCCCCATGATGTGCTGCCTCACCTGGAGCCCAGAGGAATGGAGTGGCCATCTGTGGGCTGCACTTCTGAGACCGTGCAGCCTGTGCAAACTTTTCCTCCTCAAAGTTGTTCTTGTCAGGTGTTTTGGTCACAGCGATGCAGAAATTGACTAAAACCACAAATAACAGAAAGAAGGTAAAACCGCCATTCTGACTCCTGAGTAGGGCCCAGCCTGCTCTCCACAGCTGTGTGTATATAATATGAAAAAGCTGCTTTCAGCTTTTGCTACATCTGGCCATTCTAGAAGTGAAGAGGTTGCCAACGTGTGATAGAGTTAGAAGATAAATGCCCATTTGGTAAAAAAACAGAACACAAGTGTCTTCTGCAGGTGACTTTGAAATGGAGTTGTGAGACCCCCTCTAGGAGTGGCACCAGGAATAACACTCCTCCACACTTGTTCAATGGGTGACATGGAGCCTTGAGAAGGTCCTGTGCCAYATGAGTCACGTGTAAGGGACGTTTTGCCCTTGTAGCCATTGTTTTGCGTGTGTATTTTCTCCATTGCTGTATAAGGTTGGCAATGCTAAGTGCTTTTTTGAATCATCTGGTATTTCTAGATGTTTTGAAGTACCTAATAGATGTTAAAAGTAGAATTAATAAAATGTAACACATTTTGTGAATTTCTGTTAAAACTCCTATGAAGGCCTGGGGAGGTAGCTCAGTGATACAGCGCTTGGTGTGAGGTCCTGAGTTCTGTCCACAGCACAGCAAAAAAAATTAAAATCCTATGAAATGTTGTTTTGGAGAAATAGCTACATCCCTGTTCAGTTGAGTGGTACACATTGTGCACTGGTTCTCCAGAGGAGGAGGAAAGACAAGGAGTGCCCCACCAGTGAGCTTACAAAGAGGCACAAGTAGCCTCACGACTGCGTATCTGTTTCGCGTTGCTGTGAACCTAGTGTCCATAAAGGACAAATGAGTCCTAGTCAACACCTGGTGTTTCTAGATGTTAGAGTTTGCCAGTGTAAGACAAAAGTAGAATTAGTAAACATAAATTTGGTACATTTTGTGTTAAATTTCTTAGATAAGATTGTCCTCTGAAAATTTGAGCACTGTAGACCACTAGGTTCATGAAGAGTCAGAACACTCATATTTTGAAGACATTTTCAAATTAGAACTATTGTTACATGTGTGCAGTTTGTTCAAGATTGTCGTGTACACAGTGGACAAATCACATTTTTACTTGAAACACCTAGCCTATCTAGATGTTTCGAAGTCCTGATGTATGTGAAATGTAGAGGTAGTGAAATACCACTTGTAAATATGTTTTTGCTAAAATCCATATGAAAATTGTCTTTGGGGAATGGAGATGTTGACCCACCTCTGTAAGCAGGATGATATCTTCTGTACTTGTTCAGTGCCGGGGAAGAGGTGGGGGCCAAGTGATTGCAAAAGGTGATATGCTAGTGCGTCCATTCCTGGACATTCCCAGATACCAGTTTTCCACGTGTCTGTGCATTTTGCTTTGCTGTATATGTAGTGTATATAGTGGACAAATGAGCCTCATTTTGGGACTTCTTGTTTCTAGATAATAAAGAGGTTTCCTACTATATGACCAAGAAGTGAGTAAAATCAGCACAATTAATTCAAGTGCTAAATCTTTCCCAGGAACAGCCTCATGGACACATTTAGAAATAATGTTTTACTAGTTCTCTGGACTTCCCTTTGCCCAGTCAAGTTGACACATAAAATTCATCATAGTCAGTGAGATGCTTTCTCAGGTTGCAGAGAAGAACTTTGATAAAGTAAGATAAAGAATGCAGGCCAGGCATGGAGGCTMACACCTGTAATCCCAGTGGTTTGAGAAGCTGAGACAGGAAGATCGGGGGTTCAAAGCCAGCCTCATCAACAATGAGGTGCTAAGTAACTCAGTGAGACCCTGACTCTAAATAAAATATAAAATAGGGCTGGGGATGGGCTCAGTGGTTGAGTGCCCTGAGTTCATTCCCCAGTACCCCCCACCAAAAAAAAAAAAAAAGAGAATGTAAAGGAAATTTTGCTCACAATGAATGAACAGATAAGAAATCTCATTAAAGAAACAGAATATAAGCTCACCAAGTGAAAAGTCTAGGACTGAAAAACACAAAATCTAAAATCACACACACACACACACACACACACACACACACACCCTGCACTGGATGGGTTTACTAGAGATTGGAGACAATAGAAGGAAGAGTTAGATAACATGACGATAGGTCAATAGAAATAATTCATTCTGAAGACTAGAGAGAAAGAGGGTGAAGAAAGCAAGAGAAGACTCTTAGGAACCAGCAGGACAATTTTGAAATACCTATTTTTAAAATATACAATTTTTAATACCTATTTCTTTGGAGTTCCAGAAGGAGAAGGAAAAGATAATAAAGAAGAATACATATTTGAAAAACTAATGCCCCAAATTTGGGGAATGAAAAATTTCAGTTCATAGGTAACAGAAAAAGAAAAGAAAAATCTATCAGAATTTAGAAAGTGTAAGGGTTTATTAGGTGTCCCCTAAAAGTTCATGTGTGAGACTGAGACCATGCAAGAAAGTGTATGAGAGTTACAACCAAATCAGTGCATGAACCCTCTCATAGGGATGAACTGGGTCCCTGTGGGGTGGAGCCTTTGCAGTTTGCATTTCGGTCTTGGCGAGGGGAGCGCTCTCTGCATGCTTCCTGGTGCCGCGTCCCCAGCTGCTTTCTTCCACACTCTTCCACCATCATGCTCTGCCTCATTTGGGGCACAGAGCAATGGAGTTGGCCACCTGAAACTATGGGCCCCAAATAAACTTTTCCTCCTTTAAAACTGTTCTTGTCACATTTTTTAGTCACAATAGCAAAAAAAAAAAAAAAATGACTAAAACAGAAAGGAAGAAACAAAGCTGTTATTTTTCACCAGTGGTATGTTTGTAACTTTACCCATGAGAATGGACTTGGGTGCAAGTATCAGAAAACATGTCTGAGAATGGCTGAAAAGGAAGGCTTACTCTGTTCCACGCTGTGAGAACTCTGAGAGTTGGCAGCCAGGATGTGTGTGTATGTGTGTGTCTGTGTGTGTTCAAGGATCATTGATCTGGACACTCTCATTGTTCTGCTCAGTAGTTCTTCAAATGTGGGCTTTGTCCTCATACCTGACACGTCAGGGTGGGCAGCAGGAGCAGGATAGAATGACCACATTTGAAGAACTACTGAGCAGAACGATGAGAGTGTCCAGATCAAAGAGCCTTGAATGAACACACACACACACACACACACACACACACACACTCACAAAGTACGTCCTGGCTGCCAACTCTCAGAGGTCATTCTATCCTGCTATCTCTTTTTGCAAGGAAAACAGAAGTCTTATTACTCCCATCTTCTGCTTTCACCTCATTGGAAGGAACTGGGTTCTAAGGAACTCCCCTACTTGCTGCAAATGAGGAAGGACTTTGAACAGGGATTGGGTGGGTGTAGTAGACAGAGCTAATCAGGAAAATAGAAGTCCTTGCAGGTATTTATGACAGAGGGAATTTAGTGCAAGAAGTTATTAGCATGGTTTTAGTCTGTTTTCTGCTACTGTAATACAATACCAGAGACTGGGAAAGTTACAAAGAATAAAGATCCATTCAGCTCACAGCTCTGGATGCTGGGAGGTCCAAGGTGGTAGGTCTATATCTGGTGAGAGCTTCTTGCTGGTGAGAACTTGCAGAGTCTAGAGGCAGCTCAGGGCTCCCAGGATGAGAGGTGAATATCCAAGACACATAGGCAACTTGGGTTTTGTAACAGACTCATCTAATCCCTAATTCATTCATGGGGGCAGAACCTTCACATACCTTTGCCTCTTAATTGTCCCACCTGGTCATACCTCCTCATAGCTTGTAACGGGGATTCAATTCAATATGGTATTTGTTGGGAATCACCCAGGCTCCAAAGACTAACTTCCCCATCCCCCAAGAAGAGCTGTCCAATGGTGAGCCCTCCTGGCTCACATGATCCTTACCCACCAATCAGACTAGACCTGCTGGCTCACCTGATCCTTACCTACCAATAAAAAAGCACCTTATGCCAACTGTCAAATCACCCCCGGCTCTATAAATATGCAGAGCTTTCCTCAATAAACGGGCATTTTCTCCGACGCAAGMCTTGATCATTCTTTCATTGGTGCCGAAACCTGGGAGGAGGAATGCCTCGCTGCTTGAGGGCCCCCTCTCTCAAGGCTTGCTGTCCTCATCCACTCTTTCTAGCGCTGCTACTACTCACACAACACCGGCCCTTCAGTCAGTGAGTTCCCCTATCAGGTATCCAACTTCAGATGGGCTACACAGGGGCTTTTACCGTGATCATCTAGCAAACGTCTGACGCCCAGTCTGGAGGAGAGAACGCACCCCACCATGACCTTCACGGTCACGGTGGACTCTCTGGAACCCGGTTCATGAGCAGGAGGTCCTGAGGGGTGGAAGAACAGGCACTCCCCTCTCCCCACCCCTGTCCCTCTTAACCACCCTTGTCCCTCTCCTGACCTATGGGGGCCTTTCTTCCCTCCCAGCATACTCCCTCTTATTAAATTCTGCACACAAGATTGGCCTTACTATCAATTAGACGGTCAAAGTCAATGGCCCCTAGGAGGATCCCTAGATCCCCCAGTTCTCAGAGATCTGTTTAACTTCTGTGAGTGCTCGAAAAAGTGGAAGGAGATGTTGAGGCTTTTTCTCTTCTTCATTCTCATCCCTACCTATCCAGCAGATGAACCCCCTCCCTACCGACCTCCCCTGTCGGCTCCATCCAGCCCCTCAGGTGCTCCCCCTGACTCAGCCGATACCTTAAGTTCCCCCCAAACTAGGTCCTGTCCCTAGTACCACAAACCATGGCCCCTTTAAGAGAGGTTGCTGGACCTGAGGGCATTATCTGAGTACATATCCCATTCTCTATGAATGACTCCATGCAGCTCGAGCGAAGGTTGGGCTCATTCCCACAGAYCCCACCACTTACATAAGAGAGCTTCAGTGGGTCCTCCAGGCTTATAGCCACACTTCTATGTTATTGGCTAATACTCTTCTTCCTGAGGAACGTACCAGAGTCTGGGAACTTGCCAGAGCCCATGCGGATGAAACTCACTGAGTTAATCCCAATCACCCTCCGGGGCCAC